AATCCCTTCTCCTCCATTCTCCTCTCGGGATCTTGGGCACGCACGCACACGCGCCCAGCGTGAGTTTTAAGCCACCGGGTCCGGGACGTGAACCACGGTCGACTACGTGGGAGTCCAGCGACATAGCCATTACGCTAACTGCTGGTTCCCAAGAACTATTTATTTTTAATATAGCTGGTACAATAACAACTTTTTAAAAAAGGGAAATATCCACTGCTATATAGTATTTTGATTGTAAGAAGTATTGTAGTTGCAAAAACATTAAAGTTAGAAAGTATCTTAAGGTAGAATAATGAATAAAAGATGTAATATACATTGCTGACAAACACACATGTTCAAATTATCCATCATCAGAGAAATATAAATAGAATAATATAACTTTGTCTTGGACTGTGAGCAAAAATGTAAAAAACAGCTTCATAGTCCCAGCCAGCTGCAAGTGAGTATGCCCGCACACTGCTTGCAAAGTGTAACTTAACACAGCCTTTCTGGAAAGCAGTTGGAGCCACGTGGTGATAGCTTGCAAAATATTCAGTCCCAATTGACCTATAATGCCATGTCTGCGAGTCTTATGGAAAGAGTTAGAAATTTGGACTGTAATTGAGTAAGCCTGGAAAATGGAGTCCTCAATGCTAACAAGTTTGGCTCCCAGGTTTGGAAAGTGACAGTATACATTGGCTTACAAAGGTCTTAAGGAGTCACCCTTCCAACTTAATTTTTTTTAAATTGTCAGAGGGCGTGTGTACCAGCCAGAGAGTGAGAAAAGGACCTGGTCTTGTTGCAATGCCTTCTCGTCTATCTCTCCATCCCATCAGGATTTTGGGCGTGTACACATATGCACCTAGAATGTTTTTCAAGTCACTGAAGCCGGGACTTGAACCACTGTCACTCCTGTGGGATCTGGCTCCCTACACACAGCACTAACTGCTACACCATGGGACAGGCCCATTTGCCATTTTTGAATTGAGTTGTTTGGGGGTTATCTGGTTGTTGAGTGTTAGGCGTTCTTTATCTATTCTGGAGATTTATATGTGTCTCTTACCAGCTCTGTCATTTGCAGACCTCATTCACTGTTACGGCTACGTGGTGTCCATGGTGTTAAGACACCCCCGTTTCTTAGTCAGTTGCCTCCAGTTCCTCGTGTGGTGAGCAAGCCGTGGGGAAAGTCCTTGTACTTGTCCTCTCATGCATGTGAGCACATTTCCAAAGGGAGATCCTGAGAAATTCACACTGCTGGACTGTAGGGTACCGAACACTCACACACAATGCCAAATCGCATCTTAGACAAACTCGAGTTAAGGGGATGCTAAAATTTTCCTTGGGAGGGGAAAATGCTGGTGAAAGGGCCACCCGAGGGGTTTGGGTGTAAGGAGGAGGCTGCTTCCAGTTCCTTTCCCAGCTCCGCTCCCTTTGTCCTGGAGGCTAGAGGGCTGACCCTGGGGTGCATGCACTCTGAGAAGTCGCAGCTCAGGCCTTCTCGGCACCAGCGACTAGGCTGCTTCCCCACAGGATGCTACCCAGGGTCACTGGCCACAGGTGCTCAGGCAGAGGTGAGATGAGGACAGATTGGGGCCAGCGGGTGGCAGTGTTCAGAACTTCCAGAATCAGAGCCACAAGTCTTGACTGGAATTTCTCGTCCACCAACTGTAAATCACAGAGAAGAGCCTGGCCTGCTTTATCCTGGGAGTCCCTGAGTGACAGCAGCTCCACTGGGGTGGCTGGCTCCCACCTCTTTATGGCCTCCACTCTGGCAGGGCTAGTCCAATGTGACGTCCCCAGGAAGGGGACAGCGAAGAGCAGGCGTCAGCATCAGCACACTGTGGCCCATGGGCACGGCCAGCCTACCCCTGCTTTTGTTAGAGTTGTGCAGGAGCACAGCCCTGCCTGCTGTTTCGGGGTTGCCCTGGTTGCCTTTGTGCTGCAGCTGCAGAGTTGAGTTGTTGCCACGGAGACCCATGGCCTACAAAGCCTGTGGTGTTTATTCTCTGGCACTTTTTAGAAAAAAAATCCCAACCTCTGGTCTAGATGCAATGTTAATATGCATTCATAAACCCATCAAACCTTTATTTTTATTAGGCTTGGTTCTACTTTTTTTTTTTTTCCTATAGTCACACTGCAACCCCTTCTCCTCCTTTTCCCCATCCAGCCGAAATTTTGGGCACATACGAAAATGCGCTTGGAGTATTGATCAAACCACCAGAGCTGGGATTTGAACTGTGTTCAGCTATGTGGGATCCAGCTTCCTTGAAAACTTGACTATAGGGATGGCTGAGCTTGATTCTACTTATTTTTTAAAACTATTTCATTTTATTTGTTATTATTATTTGTATTTTGATTTGACCAGAGAGAGAAAAAAAAGAAAGTGAGAAAGCAAGTCACAGTCCAGGACTCAAGCTGTGGTTGGTCATGTGGGAGTCCAGTGCCTTAATCACCACACCACCTGCCAGCCCCTTGATTCTACTTATGATTGAAAGGGAAACCACCCAGCCTCTCTGAGGCTGCCATGTAGAGCTAGATACTTTGCCATGTCAATCAGAAACTGAGATGCCAACTCACACAGACAAAGGCCTATTTATGGCCATGGGGAAAAGAAGCTGAGTGTGGGGTCAGACTCGATGAATTTTTTTTTATATATATATGATAAGTTATTTAATTAGGTTCTTGGCAAATAAATCTAGAATACCAATTTGTGAGGATAGACTCCATTTGTAAGGGCAAACACGGATCGCAGGTAGCCCTGGAGCTGAGGAACAGCTTTGATTTTTGGCAAAATTTGCGAATCCACAGCTTTCTGGTCAATCTTGCTCTGCTCTGAAATCTCGTATTTCTCCTTCTCTGTGTCGAAGATCTCACCTTCCTGGTGTCTGGGCTTCCGCAGTTTCTTTTTCTTGAAGTAAGCATGGGTAAGGTGCTTTGGGATTTTTACTTTGCTAATATCAATTTTCGTGGAGGTGGCAATGACAAATTTCTGGTGTGTTCTACGCAGTGGAACTCGATTGAGAACCAGCGGTCCAGTTACAAGTAGCAAGCCACTGCTCAGCTGCTTTGGGAAAACCGGTCTCTTGCCTCTGTGGCGTCCAGTGAGGATGATCAGAATGGTCCCAGGAGTGATGCTAGCTCGCAGCTTTCTCACATGCTGACTGAAGGGTTTTTTGCCGTGGCTCAACAGCTTTCAAGGCGCATCTTCAGTAGGATAATACTTAGGCATTTTGCGCAGTTTAACCACTCGGGTACCACCATTCTTGTCTCCACCAATCGGTTTTGTGACAGTTGCAAGAACCTTCTCCTTTTTCTTTTCGATCCTGGATTTAGTGGCTGAGTATTTCCTCTTGTACGTGGCCTTCCTGGAATACATGGCAGACCGGACAGGGTTTCAGCTGCAATGGGGCTTCCCCTTCTTGGGCTTTTTAGCCTTGGGGTCATCCTTTTTAACCTTGCCACTGGCATCAGCTTTTTTGGCTTCAGGTTTCTTCTCCTTAGTATCCTGCTTTGCAGCTTTATCGCCTACCATCTCGTATGGTGGGAAAGAGCAGACTCGATGAATGTTTTAAGGGCTCGCCTCGCCCTGAGAATTGTGAACTATGATCATTTTAGTCAATCAGAACCTTGCAGCAGTAATTATATTGGAGATGGTAGTTTGAAGATCCAGAAACCAGTTACATCCTTTAAATGCTACAGCCTCATGAAAAATGCCATTCATTCAACAACCATGCAGTGCCTTGAGAGTGTACTAAGTCTCCAAAGAAGAGGGGTTAGGGGCCAGCAGATGTCATAGTGGTTATGTCGTCGTCGTTGCTGGACTCCCATGTGGTTGACTGCAATTTGAATCCCAGACTGGCTAATGCACAGGCGCCCCCAAGATCCCATCCCTCCTGGGGGGGAGGGGTGATTTCTCACTTCCCTCTCACTGTCTGTCTCTCTCTCTGGCAAGCGCACACACCGTAAGGCAAAAACCTCTTAAAAAAAAAAAGAAGAAGAAGAAGAAGAAAGGTGAGAGAGAGCTCCAATTCCAAGGTGAAGTTTACGGTTCTTAAGTTGTTGAACTAACCTGAACACATTACACCGCACAGGGTTTCTGGTTAGTCGTCATATGGCTGAATCTCAAAATCATCTTACCTTCTCTGCTTCCAGCTTTGTCCTGCCAAGAGGTTACTGATGATGAGGTCTTGGATGCAAGCTGCCTGCTGGATGTCTTAAGAATGTACAGATGGCAAATCTCTTCATTTGAAGAGCAGGTGGGCTCAGTATTCGAGTGGTTTAGTTTAGAGAATCCCTTCCCCTGGTGACTTGGGGCTGCCCTTGCGGTTGCCTGGCCTGAGGGCATGTTTCTGTAATGTTTTAGACGGCCTCCCTATCCTAGAACCATGGCACCAGGTTCCTTCCTGTATCATGACCAGAGGGCAAATACAGCTCTTTGTCACTCAGTGGATGGTAGGTTAGCAGAATAGGGTCTAAACACACAGTCTCCACACAGTGGACATGGATAGGATGCACCTGTATCCTTCTCTTCCATTTCTCACTCCTTTTGGGGTTTTGGGCATGCACGCACACATGCCCAACAAGACATCAGGGTTGAGACTTAAACCATGAGACTTAAACCAAGGTGATGGGAAAGCTGCTTCAGATGAGGAAAACTATTCTAGAGAGGCTCGGTTTCCACTGAGACCTCAAGTATGCGAAGGAGTGAGGCCTGTGAACCCCCGGGTGGAGTGTGTTCCAGGTAGAGGAACCAGCAAGGCTTGAGATGGCTGCAAGGCTAGAACACGGATGAACCGCTATGATGAGTGAAATAGGCCAGGCCCAAAAGGACACATGCCGTATGATTCCACTCATGCGAGGAACCTAAGTGAACAGAGTCATAAAGACCAACAGCAGAGTGGTGGTTGTCTGAGGCTGAGGGGCGGGAGGAATAGGGTGTTAGTGTTTAGTGGGGACAGAGTTTCAGTTGGAAGCAAATGAAAGAAATTCTAGGATGGATGGTGGTGCTGTTTGCACAGCAGTGTGAACGCCCCAAATACCACAGCACTGTGTGTGTAAAAATGGTTACCATGGTAGATTGTAAGTTAGGTGGATTTTACTACAACTAAAGAAAGCAAGAGTCATTCTTTGGAGCAAGGTGGGGTGGAGGAGGTCAGACTCGCGCCGGTAAAGCTGAATCAGGCTAGGAGGTCACTGATGTGAAGGCAACCACCCAGCTCTCCTGCCTTTTTTCTCTTCTTGGGCCTCTCAGTTGAGGGTCTTCCAAAATATGTGGGCTGCAGTAACTGTTCCTGGTAACGCCCTGGGCCTGGAGAAGGTGGAGAGCCCGCCCTGCCCACTTTGCTGGGCTCTGCCTGATGGTTCCCACAGGGATGGCTCTGATCCTGCCCTTTTTGGGCCTCACTGAAGAATGCGGTTGCTCTTTGACAGGACGCTCACGAATTGTTCCACGTCATCACTTCGTCCCTGGAGGATGAGCGAGACCATCAGCCTCGGGTCACACATTTGTTTGATGTGCATTCCCTGGAGGTAAACCGCAAATATTCTCAGGACATTAGTGCAGTTTGTGTGCGTTTAACACATACAGGAAGCACAGGGATAGCCTCTGTGCAGCCTTAAACTCAAAAGTACACCTCTCTAGGAATCAGTAGAGGGGATGAGGCCGGGAAGGGTCTTAAACTTCATACTTGGCAGGTCGTGACTCTGGTTAGGGTTACGTCAAGGCTTTTTAAATGACTCATTGCAAATTATGCAATTTGTGTTGTCTTTGAGAATAAGGATGTGTGATTTTCCCTGTTTAATAGAGGAGAACAAAGGACCCTAGAAATGCTTGAGCCCTCCCTTCCCTGTGACAGTGTAGATATTTGGGGAGCTGGTAAAAGTTAACCAGTAAAATGGGGACGGATTCTGGAGAGAGGAAATCCATTTGGATCGTATGTGATCAGGAACACGCACAGTAACCAGCCAGGGAGGGTAATTAAAGCTACCGTCAGGATTTGTAGTGGTGCTAGCACCACAGACAGACAATCAGAGTTAGAGGTGGAGTGAGAGTAATAAATAGATTGCGGGAAGGTTTTCATCAGTTTCTTTTTCTTTTTTTTTTCCTCCTCTACAGCAGCAGCCGGAAATACTTCCTAAACAAATAACCTGCCACACAAGAGGTAATCATTTCCCATCAAAATATAACACATACGATGTATCTCTTTTGACATGATCATAATTTGCTTGCTTTAAAAAAGATTTGTTTTTCTTGGGACCAGCAGGTGGCATGGTGGTTAAGGTGCTGGACCACTCCCACATGGCTGACCACGGTTTGAGTCATGGACCTGGTAGCTTACTTTCTCACTTTCCCTCTCTCTCTGTGCCACTCTCTGGTCAAATTAAAATAAATAAAATTTAAAAATTCTTAAAAAAAAAAATTTTTGCTTTTCTAGTGAGAGCCAACCCAGTCTGATCTGGGATTGTACTTTCAGAGAAATTTATTTTTTGGCAAAAGCTTTAAATAATTTTTTAAAAAATATTCACTCATACTTCAGCCCTGTTCAGTTCCCTCTAAACAAGTTTGTTTGTACTTCAAACAAGGCTTTCTTTTTACCTTCTTGAATTGATCCTAGGAAGAACTTAAGCTGAACCTGTTGTGTCCTCAGCATTTCTGCTTTGGCCAGCTTTTACCACAAGCTGTCACAGTCCTCTTCAAAAGGAAATTCATCATTGTTTTCTTAAGACTTTAAACTTGGAAGATAAAATGGACACATTCCCTTTCTGCATTTAGCAGTATAAGAACATTTTTTTTTTTTTTAGACAGGTTTTTGCTATAGTCTCCGTGTGCTCACTAGAAAGACACAGAGACAGAAAGCAAGAAATCACTCCTAGGGGGATGGCCATGCCACAATCCCTTCTCTTCCATTCTCTTCTTGGGATTTCGGGCATGCATGCACATGCACCTAGCATGAGTTTTAAGCTGTTGGGTCTGGGACTCAAACCCATGGTCAACTACGTGGGAGTCCAGCAATGAAACCATTACACCCTCTGCTGGTCCCAGAACAAATATTTTTTAAGACCATACTTTGTACTATGGCTGCGCCCACGTAGCCCTCTGTGTCGTGGGCGCCCGCACGGCTGTCGCTGCCACCTCTGCCTTCCAGCCCCGTGTCAGGCTGGGCGCCACCTCCGCCCTGGCTCCCTCTCCACTGCGGTCATGTAGGAAATTGTAAGTCATGTGAAAATGGGATTCTTGGTGTTTGTGCGCAACCTGCTGCTAGCCCTCTGCCTCTTTCTGGTACTGGGGTTTTTGTATTACTCCACGTGGAAGCTGCATTTACTCCAGTGGGAGGACCCCAGTAAGTACAGCCACCCATGCCTGCCCTGCAGAGAGCCTGTGCAAGTCAGCGTTTGGGTTTCCATGTGGCCGCTGTGTGCTCACGTTCTTCAGAGCAAGGCAGTGAGAAGGAATGAACATTTCTGGGACTTAGGCTTAGTAGTCGCCTACTGTTTCAGTTGCTGTAGACTGAGAACGTTGGGTTTTGTTTTTGTTTTTAAACTGCATGCCATGGCAAATCTCAGTTTCTTTTATGAGCCTTGTGAGAATGTGCTATTCGTCAATAAAAACCCAGACTACACTCATTAAAAAAAATAAATACTTTGTACCAGACATTGCAATATCTCATTTAAACCTCACAGCAACTCTTTGAAGTCGATATTGAGGATAATGGGGTAATAATTACCCCACTTCCAGCGCACTGAGGCTTACACAGATGGAATGGTTTCACAGCCCAGGTAGTTGATAAGCAGAGCCAGGACTGAACCAAGGGCTCCTGCCTGGTTCCAGAGCCCATGTTTCTCACTAGTATTTGTTCCACTAGCCCCTATCCTAGCCAAAGAAAATCCCACCTCTTGATTTTTTTTTCCCTTTCTTTCCATGATAGAAAGCACATGGATGAGACAGAGGGAGAGAGGCAGAGAGGTAGAGAAGAGCATGTGCCTTAGGGTCTCACCATGATGTGATTATGATCCCCTTTCCATAGCCCTTCAGCTCCTGGGGTTTCCTGAACGCCTGCACACACGCACACCCAGTGCATTTATCAGGCTGACTCAGGATCCGAACCTGGGTGTCACGTGGATTCCAGCACTGCAAGGTTCCTGCTACACCATGGTGGCTGGGTCCCCAGTTCCTTAGAACTTGCCTATTCTGACTATTGCAGAGTTTTTATCACTTGATGGGAGCGTTTGCTTGTGGTTTCTTTCTTTTGACATCTCAAACATTTTAGTATATGTTTATAAAAAGATGTTATGAAACACAATTTTTTTTCTTTTTCTTTTTTTTTTAGTTATTTTTGCTATAGGGCTTGTGCACTCACTGGAGAGACAGAAAGCGAGAAATTGCACCCCCACCAGGGGGATGGCCATGCCGCGATTCCTGCTCCTCCAGTCTCCTCTTGGGATTTTGGGCATGCACACACACGCACCTACCATGAGTTTTGAGCCACCAGGTCTAGAACTTGAACTGTGGTTGATTACATGGGAGTCCAGTGACAACCATTATGCCATCTGTTGGTACCACAAATTTCTTTTTAAAAGGTAGCTGTACCTATTACACAGAAACTATAAGTTTTCCTGTGATGGGGGGGGATGTCTTTTACTTATTTACTTATTTTTATATATATATAAGAGGGAGAAACAGATAAGTACTTTTGGTCTCACAGGGTCTCACTCTGCTGTGATCCTCCTGCCCCACCCTTCCAGTCTGCTGGGATTGCAGGCACACTCAGCTGTGTCTGGCATGTTCATGTTGGCCTTCAGCCTGGGATGTCTTTTTAATGGAAGTTAATGTACTTTTCTTTTTTTAGATTTTTACCATAGAGCACATACGCTCACAGAAAAGAGACAGAGACAAAGAGGGCAAAGTGAGAAATCACCCCCAGGAGGCATGGTCACACTGCAGTCCCTTCTCCATTTTTTTGGGGGGTGGGGATTTTGGGCACACATAGACATGCGCCCTGTGTTTTTCTTTCTTTTTCTTTTTCTTTTTTTTCCCGGAGAGGTTTGTGGTATAGGGTGCTTGCACTCACCAGAAAGACAGAGACAGAGAGGCAGAAAGCAAGAAATCACCCCCCAGAGGGGATGGCCATGCCACAATCCCTTCTTCTCCATTCTCCTCTTAGAATCTTCACACCCATGTCCGGTTTGAGTTTAAACCACTGGGTCTGGGACTTGAACCACGGTTAACTACATGGGAGTTCAGTGACATAGCCATTACGCCAACTGCTGGTCCCAGGGTCCTGTGTGTTTTTCAAGCTACCAGGTCAGGGACTTGAACTGGAGTCAGCCACGTGGGATCCAACACCTTAACCTCCATTCCACCTGCTGGCCTTCAATGTACTTTTCTTTTTTTTTCTAAGAATGAAGTATTTTATTTATTTAAATTTGACCAAGGAGGGACAGAGTGAGAGAGAAAGAGGGAAAGTGAGAAAGCAAGCTACCAGGTCAGGGACTTGAACTGGAGTCAGCCACGTGGGATCCAACACCTTAACCTCCATTCCACCTGCTGGCCTTCAATGTACTTTTCTTTTTTTTTTCTAAGAATGAAGTATTTTATTTATTTAAATTTGACCAAGGAGGGACAGAGTGAGAGAGAAAGAGGGAAAGTGAGAAAGCAAGCTGCCAGGTCTGGGACTTGAACCGTGGTCAGCCATGTAGGAGTCCAGCATCCTCAACCACCATACCACCTGCCGCCCCTACTTTTCAAGAACAGTTCTTTCTAAAAAAGGAGTTTCTACTACATTACTGAAAAGGAGGGTAGATTCTGAGGTTGATGCCAAAGGGCTAAATTAAGTGACAAATCAAGGGCCATTTTGTATTCCAGGGTCACCTCACCCCACATCTAATCACTGGAAGTCTCAACATCCTTTTCATGGACGACTCACTAGCAACATGGTCTGCAAACACTGTGATCACCAGGTAAGTGTGGAATCAATATTTGATATTTCCTGGCCAGAGGAAATTAGGATTCATGAGGGGGCCTAAAGAGTGTGGCTGACATTGGTAACTGGTGTTTGTGATCACCTGGCCTCCACACACTTAGCAGACTGACTGCCCTTTTTGGTCAGTGCCACCCTGTCATTTGATCTTCAGGTGGCATCTTCTGCACCAAGAGCAGCAGATTTCTTAGAGAGTGGCAGGATTTCAAGGCCTAAGGTCAGTCAGTGCTCACAGGGCACACATCAGATTCTAGGGCTGGCTTTTTCGTTATTCGCTTTTGAGGATTTTAAATGAATTTTTATTAAAAAAATTCTAACATAATAACAAAAATAGAGAATTGAGCAACCAGCACCTCATTCGATTTTAGAATATCTTCATTACTCCCACTCCAGAATCCCTACCTGTCACTAGATTCCCAGTTATCTCTCCCCGTACCCCCATCACTGAGTAACCCACCTTCTGTCTCTATGGATTTGCCTGAACTTTTCGTGTGAACAAAATCGTACGCTATGTGGCCTTTTATGTCTGGAGTCTTGGACTTAGCATGTGTACATACTCACACAAAAAAGGTGTAGGTGTGTGTGTGTGTATAATGTGTGTCTGGAACCGTTGACTTAGTGTGTGAGCATATGTGCATACACACAAAATGTATGTGTGTACAGGGAACCAGCAGTTAGCGTAATGGCTATGTCGCTGGACTCCCACGTAGTCGACCACGGTTCGTGTCCCGGACCCGGTGGCTTAAAACTCACGCCGGGCGCGTGTGCGTGCGTGCCCAAGATCCCGAGAGGAGAATGGAGGAGAAGGGATTGCGGCGTGACCATCCCCCCTGGGGGGTGATTTCTCGCTTTCTGTCTCTATGTCTCTCTCTGTCTGTCTGGCGAGCGCACGCGCCCTACAGTGAAAATCTCTCCAAAAAAAAAAAAAAAGTATGTGTGTACACACACACATATACACTGGGTCGTTGGAAAAGTCATGATTTTTTCCCCCAGAGGTTTTTGCTATAGGGTGTGTGTGCTCGCCAGAGAGACAGAGAGAGAGAGAAAGTGAGACATCACCCCCCAGGGGGGATGGCCACGCCACAATCCCTTCTCCTCCATTCTCCTCCCGGGATCTTTTGCACGCACGCACACACTCAAACTGCAGCTGACTACATGGGAGTCCAGCAACATAGCCATTATGCCAACTGCTGGTCCCATGTAAAAATTTTTCATTAGAAAAATACATCATGACTTTTCCGACAATCCAATATATGTATAATTTTCTGTTTTTCTCTGCATTGATTCCTCATTTGCCCATTCCCTTTAACTATATATTTTCCTTTCTGCCCTTGAGCATATTTATAATATACCTTAAGGTTGTTATGTGTTAATTTCAACATCTAGGTCATCTCTTTCCACTTCACAATGAGCTACATTTCCCTCTTTCTTTGTATTGTATGTGTAGTAATTTTTTAAAATGTTTTTGTCATAGAGCACATGTACTCATAGGAGAAAGACAGAAAAAAAACAGTGAGAGGGAAAGGGAGAAATCAGCCCCTGGTGGGATGGCCATGCTGCAATCCCTTCTCCTTCATTCTCCTCTTGGGATTTTTGGGCACACATACACACACTTGGCATGAGTTTGAAGCCACCAGGTCCACGACTTGAACCACAGTCAGCCATGTGGGAGTCCAGAGCCCCAACTACTACACCACCCACTGGTCCTGTGTAGTAATTGTTTATTACATACTTAACACTGTACTCGAGATTTTGGATTCTGTTGTTTCTCTAAAGAAAAATGAATTTTGTTCTGGTGGGCAGTTAACTTGGCTCGGCTGAAACCCTCAACTCTGTAACCCAACACTTGACAGCAGATCTTTGTTCTGTTCTCTTAACTTCCTGCGGCTACTTTTTTCCAGGCCCTGTGAAGCCTGCTCTGTGCCTGTGTGGTTCAGTGGTCAGCCCTGGAATGGGCAAAGTTTACGTGTGAATTTTGGGTCTCCTCCTCTGTGTGACTCCCTTCCTTCTAGGCTTCCCCTTTGTCTGTCTGTCTGTCTTTTTTTTAAAGAGAGATTTTTGTTATAGGGCATGTGTGCTTGCTGGAGAGACAGAGACACAGAAAGCAAGAATTCACCCTCCCAGAGGAGATGGCCACACCACAATTTCTTCTCCTCCATTCTCCCCTTGTGATTTTGAGGATGCATGCACATATGTGAGCTTTAAACATCCAGGTCTGGGACTTGACCCACAGTCGACTACGTGGGAGTCCAGTGACGTAACCATTATGCCATCTGTTGGTCCTCCCCTGTCTTTATACCAGCCTTGACATCTGTCTTTTGATAACTCAGTCCTGTAACTCCACTGCTTGTGACCAGCTAACACTGCTTAGACTAGGTAAAAAAGCCATAAACAAGGGACCAGCAGTTAGCGTAATGGCTATGTCGCTGGACTCCCATGTAGTCGACCGTGGTTCACGTCCTGGACCCGAAACTCATGCCGGGCATGTGTGCATGAGTGCCCAAGATCCCGAGAGGAAAACGGAGGAGAAGGGATTGCGGTGTGGTCATCCCCCCTGGGGGGTGATTTCTCGCTTTCTGTCTCTCTGTCTCTCTCTGTCTGTCTGGTGAGCGCATGCACCCTATAGCAAAAACCTCTCAAAAAAAATTATTTTGGGACGAGCAGTTGACGTAATGGCTGTGTCACTGGACTCCCACATAGTCGACCACGGTTTGAGTCCTGGACCAGGTGGCTTAAACTCCTGCCGGCAGATGTGCGTGCATGCCCAAGATCCTGAGAGGAGAATGGAGGAGAAGGGATTGTGGTGTGGCCATCCCTGCTGGAGGGTGATTTCTTGCTTTCTATCTTTCTGTCTGTCTCTATCTTTCTGGTGAGTGTACGCACCTTATAGCAAAAACCTCTCCAAAAAAATTATTTTAATGAACTTTATTTATTTGCTTATTTTTAATTTGACCAGAAAAGTACAGAGGGACAGAGAGCAAGAAAATGAGAAAGCAAGCCGCCGGGTCCAAGACTCAAACTGCGGTTGGCCATGTGGGGAGTCTAGCGCCCTTAAGCACCATGTCACCTAACACTCCTCCCATATTATCTTTTAATTCTATTTTTCTGTAACCTCTTTGAAGTTCTCTCATAATCTTAGTTTTCCTAAGCTATCTTTTAGGATTATTGTACCTTTTATGTTTGCAAGGTTGTTTTTAATAGAACTTACTTCTAGGGCCAGCCACATGACATGATGGTTAAGGGAATTTAGGGAAGCTGAATCTTATATGGTTGATCACAGTTCAAATCCTAGTCCTGGCAACTTGAAAGACAGTGTGACTAGCAAATGGCATAATGGTTACATTGCTGGACTCCCACATAACCAACTATGGTTCAGGTCCTAGACTTGGCAGCTTAAAATTCACGCTGGGCATGTGTGTGCATGCCCAAAGTCCTAAGGGGAGAATAGAGGAGAAGGGATTGTAGCATGGTCATCCTTCCCAGGGGTGGGGGAGTGATTTCTTGTTTTCTGTTTCTCTGGTGAGTGCACGTGCCCTTTAACAAAAAATCTCTTAAAAAAGAAAAAGAGGAGCCAGCAGGTGGCGTGATGGTTAAGGCTCTGGACAGTCCCACATGGCTGACCATGTTTTGAGTCCCAGACCTGGTGGCTTGCTTTCTCACTTTCCCTCTCTCTTTCTCTCTGTGTCTCTCTCTGGTCAAATTTTAAAAAATAATAATAATAAATAAATAAATTAATTAATTAAATTTTTTTAAAAAGAAGAAAAAGAAAAGCACATAGAGCAGCCCTGATCTATGGGGGAAAGAGAAGTAAAGAATTAGCAAAAAAGAAAAAGAAAAAGACACACTGGCACATGTGCACGCGTGCTCAAAATCCCAACAGGTTAGGGAAATGGAGGAGAAGGGATTGCAGCGTGACCACGCCCCACTGGGGAGTGCGGCTCTCCTCCTCACCACCATCTGTCGAGTGCATGAGCCCTCTGGCAACTTAAATAATAACCATAAATTTAAAAATAGAATTTGCTTCTAAGTAAATATATTATTTTTATTATGTTAATTCTGGGCATTATTAAATATAAAATATTAAACTGTTTATATTACTAAATATAAAGTTATTCAATATTAAACTGTTTGATAGACATATATCTTCCCATTTTCAAAGTTTTAGAATGACTCTGAGTCCTTTCTGAATTTTCTACAATTTTTCTTTCAGAGTCCTGTTCGATTTGATACCTTCGATAGCCTTTCACTAAGTATTCCAGCTGCCACGTGGGTATGTACTAACCTGCGGTGTATTTTGGGTCTGTCTTGGAGACATTTCAGAGTGAAAGGGCTCTGAGACACCGTATGTGGTTCAGGTGCCGTGCGTTATTAAGACGCCTGGTCGGTTGAGCCCTTTCTTCAATGTGCGGTACTGTGGCCTGACTATGGGGGGAGGGAGAGAGGTGGTAATTTCTCTCCTGCCGCAGAAATCTTGCCTTTTTGAATACACACATACATACCCGCCTCTGCGTCATTTTCTGCACCGTTACATCCTCCCATTTTTGCATCAGTCAGTATTACAGTCAGTCTAGGGTGCTTTGAGCTGCACGTCTGTTCAGGAGCCGTCCGGTTGTATCTGTGAAGCTCTGTTGCCTACGTGTGTGAAAGCAAAGCTCTGGGACCCCGCCCGCCATCTCTAACTAGTTCAGCGTAGCTCTCCTTTGAGTTGTAGTAATGCTCTTCTTCTCATGCTGTAGGGTCACCCGCTGACCCTGGATCACTGCCTTCACCACTTCATCTCGTCAGAATCAGTGCGGGATGTCGTCTGTGACAACTGTACAAAGGTACGTGTTTAACCCCAGCCAGCATCGCCCAGCGGGTCTGTGTGCACCACACAGCGCCTCGCACCCTTGGCCTAGAGCACTTCTGAGTGTGCCACCCGCCAGGTCTACCTGGCTTAGTTTGGAAGTCAGCAGCCTATAGCCAGATCTCTTTCCCAGATAAGTTTGGCTCTGTACATGGCATTTAAAGAAAAAAATTTGAGGGGGCTAGCAGGTGGTATGGTGGTTAAGGTGCTGGACTCCTGCATGGCTGACTGCAGTTCAAGTCCTGGACCTGGCAGCTTGCTTCTCACTTTGCCTCTCTCTCTCTCTTTGTTTCTTTCTATTTCTCTCTGGTGAGCATATGTATCCTATAGAAAATTAAAATATAATAATAATAGGGACCAGCAGATGGTGTAATGGTTACACTGCTGGACTCCCATGTAGCTGACTGCAATTCAAGTCCCAGACCCGGTGACTTAAAACTCAAGATGTGTGTACGTGCGTGCCTAAAATCCTGAGAGGAGAATGGAGGAAAAGGGACTGTGGCGGGGTGATTTTTTGCTTTCTGTCTCTCTGTTTCTCTCTGTCTCCAGCGAGTGCACATACCCTTTAGCAAAAATCTCTCTTAAAATAATAATAATTAATGATGATGATAAATAAATAAATTCTAAAAAGAAAAAAATCACAACATCATGCTTTGGGAGGGGACATGTCCTCTCCAATTTGTTACAGTCTCCTCCATTCTGTTTTCTCACATCCTGCCTTCTTTTATTTTAACCTATGCTACCTGCCCGACTCCCTTCAGTAACTGGATTTCACCCCTGAATCAAGAAGAACTGAGTAGGGGCTAGCAGGTGGTGTGGTGGTTAAGGGCGCTGGACTCCCACATGGCTGACTGCGGTTTGAGTTCCAGACCTGGTGGTTTGCTTTCTCACTTCCCCCCTTTCTCTCTCTCACTCTGTCCCTCTCTAGTCAAATAAATAAATAAAAAGTTAAATAATTATTTTTAAAAAAAAGAGGAAGAAGAACTAAACTTTTGAAGATAGAGAAGAAACTAAATTGCATGCCAGTGTTAGAGTTTCAGTCCTTTTTTCCTATTCCCTCCATTCTTTCTGTAATTGATTGACTAAGGGGGGATCTTTGAAAATGACTCACCTACGGCCAGGCAGTTGAGTTCATTTCTGCAGGTAGCCATCAAATGCCAGCTGAATCTGGCACAATACCAGCCTGGTCTGCAGCTCCCCACAGATGTCCTGTCTCAAGGATTTCAGCAGAGAAACATTGTTGCTTATGTTTTAGATTGAAGCAAAAGGAACACTGAATGGGGAAAAGGTGGAACACCAGCGGACCACTTTTGTGAAGCAGTTAAAACTCGGGAAGGTGAGCCCACACTGTTCACCTGTTGGCTTTGCATTTGAGGACTCCCTGCGTGCTGCTCCTGAATCCGCTAGGTTCTCTCTGGTCTGTTCTCGCCTGCAGCTCCCTCAGTGTCTGTGCATCCATCTGCAGCGGCTGAGCTGGTCCAGCCACGGCACGCCTCTGAAGCGGCACGAGCACGTGCAGTTTAATGAGTTCCTGATGATGGACATCTACAAGTATCGCCTCATTGGACACAAAGCCAGTCAACACAACCCTAAGCTGAACGACAGCCCAGGGCCTGCATTGGATCTGCAGGACGGGCCAGCAGCTCCCAACCCAGGTGTGTGCCCAAGAGCCGAGATAGCAGGGATTTTTTTTTTTTTTTGAGAGGTTTTTGCTATAGGGCGCGTGCGCTCGCCAGAAAGACAGAGAGAGACAGAGAGACAGAAAGCGAGAAATCACCCCCCAGGGGGGATGGCCACGCCGCAATCCCTTCTCCTCCATTCTCCTCTCGGGATCTTGGGCATGCACGCACACGCGCCCGGTGTAAGTTTAAGCCACCGGGTCCGGGACTTGACCCGTGGTCGACTACGTCCAGTGACATAGCCATTATGCTAACTGCTGGTCCCAAATATCAGGGACTTTTGACACAGAAAAAGGAATCTGGCATTACCACCTATGGGTGCCTATTACTTGGGTGCAAGTTGTGTACAGCAGTTCTCTAAATTCTTCAGAATGGTAGGATTGGTATAGAACAAGGAAAGTTTCTCTCTCTTTTTTTTATTTCAAATGGCCAGAGGGAAGGACCAGCAGATGGCATAATGGTTATGTCACTGGAATCCTACTTGGCTGACCATGGTTTGAGTCACAGACCTGGCAGTTTGAAACACACCAGATGCATGTGTGTATGCACCCAAGATCCTGAGAGGAAAATGGAAGATAGGGATTGTAGTTTGGCCATCCCCCCTGGAGGGGGTGATTTCTTGCTCTCTGACTATCTCTGTCTGACAAGTGCACATGCCCTATAGAAAAAAATCTCTCTGAAAAACAAAAAAAAAAGGCCAGAAGGAAGGCATGTCCGCTCACCAGAGAGAGGACCTCCGCAGTAGGGCATGGTCATGCTGTAATCCCTTCTCTTTTGTGTCTCCATCTTGTTGGGATTTGGGACACACATGTATATGCATCATGTGTTTTTGAAACCACTAGGGGTGGGATCCGAACCACAGTCAGCCATGTGGGATCTGGCTCCCTTAACCAATAGGCTTACATACAGGCTGGCCCTTTTGCTTTTTATTATTATTATTGTTATTATTATTATTATTATTACTACTACTAAGTTTGTTTATTTCTTGAAATAGAGAAGCAGGCACCCTGACAGGGTCTTCATGCTGCGATCCACTCCCAGACTTAGCCAGCCTGGATCACGGGCACATACATATGTACTTAGTATGCATAAGAGGACCCTGGGTTGCAACCACAGGACCTGTAAGATTTCTGAAAATAAGTTAAAATTAGGGCTTAGACAGTGGTGCAGCAGTGAAATATGATGTTCTGCAAGGCTGACCCATGTGGGAATGTTCCAGGTTTGTATCCAGAGACCTCCCTGAGTATGCAGGCACATGCATGCCCGTGATCTGGGGCTGGCTGGGGGGAACCATGGCATAAGGACCCTGTTGGGTGTGCTGTCTCTGTCTCTGATGGAAGAAATAAACTTTAAGGAAAGATTAACATAATTTAATAATGAGAGATACATTGTTTTTAAAAATTATTTTATTTATTATTATTTATTTAAGTGTGCTATGGAGCATGTGAGCTCACCAGATAGAGACAGAGAGAGAGAGAGAAGGAAAGTGAGAAAGCAAGCCAGCAGGTCTTGGGACTAGAACCATGATCAGCTATGTGGAAATCCGGAATCTTAACCACTGCACCACCTGCTGACCTCAGAGGTATAGTTTTTAAAATATATTATAGATGAAAAAGTATAGGGCAAAAGCTTAAGATTGCTGAATTGCTTTCTGATCTTTTGACTAAATAATAATTGACATATCATTCCTGTAATTAATTAATTAATTAGTTAGTTTCTCTTTCTCTCTTTTCTTTCTTTCCTTCTTTCTCTTTCTCTCACTGTCTCCCTCCCTGTCTACTAAGGGAATGTCTTAGCTAAAGATCACCAAAATATCTCATTTGGGTTGACATGACTTTTTTCTTTTAAAGAGAGATTTTTACTATAGGGCGACTGTGCTTGCCAGAGACAGAGAGAGACAGAAATGGAAAGCGATAAACTACCCTCCAGAGGGGATGGTCACGCCATGATCCCTTCTCCTTCATTTTCTTCTCAGGATCTTGGGCAAACACACACATGCACACGCACCGGGGTGAGTTTCAATCCTCCAGGTCTGGAACTCAAATCGTAGTTGGCTATGTGACGTTACCATTACCCATCTTCTGGTCCCTACGTGACTTCTTCTGTATTGAATTATCTAATTCCATCACTGTCCTCGGGTTAATTGTTGAATTGGGTCCCAGTTAAGCAAGATAGCTATTATTGCCCTCCATCTTACTAATGAGAAAACTGAGGCTCTACAAGGTTAAATGATTGGCCCAAGGGCAAACAGTGGATGGGAAAACTGGCCCTAGAATTAGCATTAGGGCAGCTTTTGTTTTTGTTTTGCCTTGTTTAGATTTTGCCATAGGGCACTTATGCTTGCTAGAGAGAGATGGAGATGGAGAGGGAAAGTGAGAAATAACCCCCCAGGGAGATGGCCACACTGTAATCCCTTTTTCTTCATTCTCCTCTCGAGATTTTTGGCATACACCTGTCCAGCATGTTTTTCAAACTGCTGGGTCTGGGACTCAGGACTGCAGAGTTGGTCATGTGGGATCCAGTGTCTTAACCACCATGCCACCTGCTGTCCCCAGGGCAGTTTTTATAAAGGTATCTTATGTGACTTGTTGAGTTATATGGCGTGATTGATGAGAAGATCCCACCAACTTTAAGGGCTCAATATTCGAACTCATCACTCTATGCTGTTACTAGTTAAGTGGGGATAGTCTCCTGCACCCCCAAACTTCCCTGACTTGGTGTCCCTCAGTCTGTTTTCTTTGTGTGTGTGTAACTATTGTTACTTGGCCTGGCAAGACATCACTTCAGGGGGACTCTGTTTCACTAGATTAACACGGAGGACAGCCAAGGTGCGGGGAGAGCTCAGTCCTTGGCTCTGTTTTAAACCAAAGACTGTTCACCCTTGGCTTCCTCCTCTCCCAGGCTGGGGTGCAGGTCCACTAATATCGAGAGCATGGTGGCTATGGTTAAAAAGGCTAGTCCCCACTGCAGGGGCACATGCTGCCCTATCGCGGAGCTCCATAGGCTGGGACCACATGGGAGGTCGAGGTTTGATTCCCAGTCCAACCTCAAGGTGGGACACCATGACTGCCCTTATAATCCAAGTGTCTTGGGAGGTTGAGGCAGGAAGATCATGACAGTGAGACTGTCCAAAAAAACGGGGGAGAGAGCAGCCTGGTAGCCTGGTGATTAAGGGAGCCAGATCCCACATGGTCGATCACAGTTCAAATCCCAGTGCCAGAGGCTTGCAAACCATGTGGGTGTGTGTGTGGAAAAGGGAGGAAAAGGGATTGTGGAGTTACTATTACCCATTGGGTGGTGGAAAAGGGATTGTGGAGGAAAAGGGACTGTGGAAAAGGGATTGTGGAGTTACTATTACCCATTGGGTGGTACTTTCTTCTTCTCTGTCGCTCTTTGGCAAAAGCCCATGCCCTCTGGCCATTAAAAATAATATATATTGGGGCTAGCAGATGGAATAGCAGTTCCATTGCTGGACTCCTACATAGCTGACAGTGATTGGAGTCCCATACCCAATGGCTTGAAAATCATGCCAGGTGCATGTGCATGCATGCCCAAGATCCTAGGAAGAGAATGGAGAAGGGATTGTGGTGTGGCCATCCCCCCGGGGGGTGATTTCTCACTTTCCCTCTCACTGTCTCTGTCTTTCTCTCATGAGCACCCGTGCCCTAAGATAAAAACTTCTAAAAAAAATTGAAAAATAATAATAATATATATTGTGTTATTGGAAAAGTCATGATGTGTTTTGCATAGGAAAATATGTTATGGCTTTTCCGACAACTCTCTCTCTATATATAATTTTTTATGAATATATTAAAATACTTACATTAATTCTATGAAATTATTTTATGAATAATGTAATAAAATTACTTTTTTATAACTTTATGGGGGGTTAATTTTCAAAGTAATTGGAACCTTGTTTGGTTTATCCAAAGCCACTGCTAATTTTCATTGACTCAGGCGTTTTTCTCTTGCAGTTCTGAATCAGCCAGGGACCCCCAAAACACAAATTTTTATGAATGGCGCCTGCTCCCCGTCTTTATTGCCTACCCTGCCAACCCCAGTGCCCTTCCATCTCCCAGTTGTTCCTGACTACAGGTAAGCTGCTCTTCGCAGTCTTTACTTTTGTGGGCTGCTACTTCTCTTAATTTTTAAAATTGGAAATGAATTAATGAAAAGTTAGGGATTTAGTTTTTCATTATTTTTAAGAATTATTTTTTATTTAACTTTATTTTCATTTGACTAGACAGGGACAGAAAGAGTGAGAAAATGAGAAAGCAAGCTGCCAGGTCCAGGACTCAAATCACAGTCAACCATGTGGGAGTCTAGCGCCCTTAACTACCACACCACCTGCTGGCTCCTTTTTTTCATTTTAAGGTGGAATTTTTTTTTTTTTTTTTTGAGAGGTTTTTGCTATAGGGTGCATGCGCTCGCCAGACAGACAGAGAGACACATAGAGACAGAAAGCGAGAAATCACCCCCCAGGGGGGATGGCCACGCCGCAATGCCTTCTCCTCCATTCTCCTCTCGGAATCTTGGGCACGCACGCACACGCGCCCGGTGTGAGTTTTAAGCCACTGGGTCCTCTGGGATATGGTCCGTTGACTAAGTGGGAATCCAGCAACATAGCCATTACGCTAACTGCTGGTCCCTTAGGGTGGAATTTTACTATTATACACTCCCATTTATTTTTGTCCAAAGTAGAAATCACTTTAAAATAAGAGTTATAAAAGTACATACTATTGACATACACACATATGTGTGCTGTGTGCATGTATGCATATATGAACAAAGAAAATGTAAAGAAGTTTAAAATTTCTTGGGCTACTATCTGGAGATAACCAGTTCAATCTTTGGAGTCATCCACTCTGTACAGTTGTGTGTGTGTGTGTGTGTGTGTGTGTGTGTCTGCACACATACATATGGACTTCAAAAACTCATGGAAAATGGAATTGAAGTATGAGTTTATATTACTGCCAAAAATATTTTGAAATCTACACATAATTTTTTATGCACTTTATGAAAGCACAAAATATACATGTACAGAGATATTTCTTTGATGGCTAATATAGTATCTATCAATATATACCCATACAATGGCTTTCTTGCCACGTCAGTAAACATAGGTCTGTATTTTAGTAGTTTTATACTATTCTGTTGTATGGCTGTAGCATTGTATCAATCTCCCATTATTTAACCTCTAGGATTAGTTTATTTATTGTTTTTGCCCATAAAGCCATTTTTGTAATATTCATATGCCACCAGTATATGTTTCTTTCCTTTTTTTAAGAATTATTTAACTTTGTTTATTTTTAGTTTGGCCAGAGAGGGACAGACCAAGAGAGTGAGAAAGCAAGCCACTAGGTCAGGGACTCAAACCGTGATTGGCCATGTGGGAGTCCAGCGTCCTTAACTACCACGCCACCTGCCAGCCCCAACCGGCATCTGTTTCTATGTTCAGCTCCTCCACATACCTCTTCCGGTTGATGGCAGTTGTCGTCCACCATGGAGACATGCACTCTGGACACTTTGTCACCTACCGACGGTCGCCACCTTCAGCCAAGAACCCTCTGTCCACCAGCAGCCAGTGGCTATGGGTTTCCGATGACACCGTGCGCAAGGCCAGCCTGCAGGAGGTCCTGTCCTCCAGTGCTTACCTGCTGTTTTATGAGCGTGTCCTTTCCAGGGCACAGCATCAGAGTCAGGAGTATAAATCTGAAGAATGACCCTGCCCCAGTCCCGAGGTAGAGCCGAAACTGTCCAGGAGGAAAGCAGAAGCATCCCGTGTGTGTGTGTACAAGCAGTCCCACTTGGCTCTTCAGCCTCCCAGTGCACATGAAGAGCAAGCTCCACACGGGGCCAGGACCTGGTTCATAAGGAATCCAGCACCCCACGGAGCTCTGCTAGTGTGCACGGGAAGGTGCCATCGTGTTAGGAAAGCATTCATTCGTCTAGAGAGTCTTTGTACTCATCTGACACAGGTAATTAAAAGAAACCAGATTCCGGAAGCCACTTTTTTTATACTCTAATATGTTAGATGTTGTCAGAGGGGAGTTAACTTTGTTTAATCCTCTGATGTTTCAGCATAAATGTTTTATTTTTAATAAGCAAGCCCACAAAAATCGTTGACAAGAATCAGTGAAATGATTAAAGGCAACAATTTTGAAGAAAAAGTGCCTTCCACTTTCGATTGTTTTTGTAGCACATCCATTCCAAAAAGCAGACATAGGAACAATTTTTGAAAAGCTCCAATTTCTTCCAAGTTACTCAAAGGACAGCAAGAGAACAGTCAAGAGGCCGAGAGAACACCTCCCTTCCCTTTTTCTAAGCCTTTTTCTAATCTTTCAAGTCTTTCTATGTAGTAAAGGCTCCCCTGCCAAGCCTGCCCCCTGGGGAGAGTCATTGCCCTATTTTGTCAGTTATAAGTGAAACGCTTACTTGTCGCTTTTATCTTTTGTAAACTGGACTAAGAGATGTAATTATTTATTATAAAACTGTGTTAATAGCCAGAACTGAGCAGTGTCTGTGCAGCACCTGGGATTCCTCTGCTCAGTAGAAAATATTTATTACCCAGGATGCACTGCGGATGATTCTTTCTCTGTTTACTTCCTGCCCGTGCAGAGCTCTGAGGGTTTACAGGCAGGAGCTTGGGACTGTGTGAAGAGACAATCCCTGCCATGATTTGAGAGCTGGAATAGGAAGACAGGGCGCCGACCACAGGCTCTCTGGACCTCAGTCTCCTCATTTGTAAAGACAGGGATTATATTCCATGACTACCGAAGTCCAGCCCTTTCCACACAAAAAAAGAAGCAAGCAGCTTTTGATTTTTCAGAAAATCGTGGAAGACAGCTGACACTTGGTATTGTTGTTGTAGGTCCATGTCCTAAATGTCTTCATCCTTGCTGGGAGCCTGATAAAAAAAAAATGTCCTGAGCATTTTCTTCCCTTTGCAGTGAAGTCCCATGAAGGCTGCCCAGGGCCAGAGGAATGTTGATGACACACTCGTACTGATGTTTTAGCTAGATTTTTTGTCAAAAAGATACCAAATTCAAACTGACTCTGCAGAGCTAAGATTGAAATCAGACCTGTGCAAAAGGTCACCTGAGGTAAGGCTAAGCACTGGCTTCCTCAGCTGGGAGGAGCCGGCGGACACTTCCAACAATGCTAAGGTGCCAGCTGCAAGTGCAAGGAGCCCAGGTGGTCCCCCTTCCTTGGAGGCCCAGCGTGCATCCTGAGGACTCAGCACCTCTGCTACGTGTAGACGTACTGGGAAGGTTCCCGTAGGGCAGTCCATGACGGTTCTCCAGACCGCGGGCAGCAGCGTGAAAGGGGCCGCTTCAACTCTCCGATCCAGTCACTGCTGATCCACCACGGACCCCGGATTGGATGTTCTACCTACGTCCGGTAGAAATATCCAAGCGTGTGACCTTCAACTGCATTGCCAAGTTGTGGCTTTGAGTAATCGCAGCTCTGCCCCTGCTTACTCTTTGAAACTTGCCATTAGATGTACGAAAGGGAAGAGCTGTGAGCACATTTTGGTCAGAGGTCAGGGTTTGAGCCGAGGTTGTCATGTGAACAACATTTTTGTGCAGTCTCTTAACCTGACTTAAAGCTGACTTCCTCATTTTGTAAATTCTTAGGCACTAAGTAGCAGCCAATAATCTGATTTCTAGCTTTAAGTTACTTATAAAGTAGCTCCTTCTTTTCAAAAAACCTAAGTTCAACTAGTAGTTTATGCCTTGATAACTGCTGATTTATGTATTTGCTAAAGGTACTTTTGTATCTGCTGTGTATTATAGCAATAAAAGAATCATTTTGTTAGGAAAATGGTATTCTCTCATAATTTACCCATTCGATGCAAACACCCTCTTTCTGAAAATCTGCACTGTTACATAACAAGCCCAATGCCTTGGTTAAACTTTTTCTTTCTTTTCTTTTTTTGAGAGGTTTTTCGCTATAGGGCACGTGCGCTCGCCAGACAGACAGAGACATAGAGACAGAAAGCGAGAAATCACCCCCCAGGGGGGATGGTCACGCCGCAATCCCTTCTCCTCCATTCTCCTCTCGGAATCTTGGGCACGCACGCACACGTGCCTGGAGTGAGTTTAAGCCACCAGGTCCGGGACTTGAACCATAGTCAACTACATGGGAGTCCAACTGCTGGTCCCTTGGTTAAACTTTTTCTGTGTCCCCTGTTGGTAAAGGATATGCCAGCTCCCTCTTAAGAGTAAAGGGGGAAGAGAAAAATAGGACTAATTGTTACAAATGTTTTTATTTATTTTTAAATTTTTTAGAGGTTTTTTTTTTTTTTCACTATAGGGCGCGTGCGCTCGCCAGACAGACAGAGACATAGAGACAGAAAGCGAGAAATCACCCCCCAGGGGGGATGGTCACGCCGCAATCCCTTCTCCTCCATTCTCCTCCCGGGATCTTGGGCACGCACGCACACGCGCCCGGCGTGAGTTTTAAGCCACCGGGTCCGGGACACAAACCGTAGTCGACTACGTGGGAGTCCAGCGACATAGCCATTACGCTAACTGCTGGTTCCCTAATGTTTTTATTTTTTAGTAGGCAAAACTGTACGAAATGTCAAATTAACTCGTGGAGCCAGAACCTTCTTCCGGATGGGAAGACTGTGGTACCAGTGAGTGTTGGTTGGGTGGTTCATCATGAGTAAACTTCCGTGGGCCAGCTGGAGCCTGACTACCTCCACCCTCCGGGAGGGGCTCTTCCCCCGAGAGTCCTTATGCCGGAAAAAGAAGTCTCTGCAGGCACCGAAGGAGACAGAGGCGATGGGGCTCCCCGGGGCCAGTTCTCTTTCATCATCTCGGTGCTCCCCAATATGGTCACAACCATCTTTATATCTACAATGAGAAAACAAGCACAGCTCATAAAAATAGCCCTCTCACAGTCAGCAGGTGCCATAGTGGTTAAGGCGCTGGACTCCCACACGGGAGACTGCAGTTCAAGTCCTGGGTCCAGCAGATTGAAAATCACGCTGGGCACATGTGTACGTGCCCAAAATCCCAGGAGGAGAATGAGAGAGGGGACTGCCACATGGCCATCACCCCTGGAGAGTGATTTCTCACTTTCCCTCCACCTGTCTCCAGTGAGCACACACACAAAAAACTCAAAAAACAAACAGAAGAGCCCTCTCCTGAAACTGGCTACCACTGCAGACTTCATGTTTTCTCACTGTGTGAAACAGCACTATGTGCATGGCCATCACCGCCATGTTTCTGCAAGGGCATGAGGTCCTCATCGGGTCCATAGATGAGCCAGCCCTGAAGCATCCTCACTTTGTCGTCTAGTATCGTTTGATCAGGTGCTTTGGAACTTAAGGCACAGGGCCAGCCGGGGGCATGGCAGTTAAGGCACCTGGATCCCATGTGGCCGACCATGTGGTTCAACTTCCAGGCCTGGTGACGGTTTAAAAACATGCCAGGTATATCTGCATGTGTGCCCAAAGTCCCAAAAGGAAATTAGAGAAGGGACTGTGGTGTGACCATCTCCACGGGGGCTGCTTTTTCACCCCTACCCTGTCTCTCTCCAATAAGCTCACACATCCTCTAGCAAATTAAATATATTTATGCATGTGCATGCATATCGTTATAAAATTATGGCACCAAGAGTAGTCAGCATCATGTCTTCTAGTTCTCCTGGTCCAGGCAGGTAAACCTTTATCAAATGAAGTGATTTCTCCTGACACTTTAGAAGGAGATCCATATTCTTTTTTTTTTAAAGAGGTTTTGTCATAGGGCACATGTACTTGCCAGAGAAAGAGACAGAGAAAGGGAGAGGGAAAGGGAAATCCCCCCCCCCCCCCAGAGAGATAACCTTACTGCAATCCCTTTTCCTCCATTATCCTCCTGGGATCTTAAGATGCACACATGCCCAGTGCGATTTTCAAGCCACCGGGTCAGGGAGTCGAATTGTGATTGGCCATGTGGGAGTCCAGCAACATAACCATTACACCATCTGCTGGCCCTGAGACCCATGTTCTTTGCAGACTGGTGCTACCCACCTCTGAGCACATCCCATGTCCCTCGTGCCCTCACTCCTTGCTTTCCACCCGTATTAATGGGATTTCTGCTCCACAGACATCCCAGCTCCTGCTGTTCCTCTTCCAGATGGCCGTAGCTCCCTCTCCACTTAGTTATCAGCTCCAGCATCAGCCCTCCTCTAATCACCTCACCTAAAGTGACCTTCTAAAGCTGGGTTCTCAACCAGGGCAATCCTGCCCTCGGGACACTGGGAGATATCTGAACACGTTTGGGTTGCCATGACGTGGAGGAGAGGACAGGGCACACCTGGTGGAGGCCATGGATGTTCTCAACATGCTCAGTGCCAGTCCGGCCAGCCCCCCACCATAGAGAACTACAGGGCCCTGAAGTCAAGAGTGCCGCCATGGAGAAGACCCAAAGCCCCTGCCTCAGCCAGTGCTTCGCCAAGTCCACCTGGGGAGTTTTCAAGACCTGTAACACTGTCGGAAATGATGGAGAGTCTGTCACCACCTGCTTCCCTCATGAGGGCTGCATGCGCATGGCCCTGGTGGTCCCAGCAGAGTCCACTGCTGTAGCCCTTGTGCGCTAAAGAATTTATTTATTTTTTAATGACTCAGCACTTGGGGCGATTATTTATTCATTTATTTTTTTGAGAGGCTTTTTGCTATAGGGCACTTGTGCTTGCCAGAAAGACAGAAAGACAGAAAGCAAGAAATCACGTCCCGCCCAGGGGGGATGGCCACACTGCAATCCCTTCTCTTCCATTCTCCTCTTGGAATCTTGGGCACACACACACACACACACACACGCCCAGCGTGAGTTTAAGCCACTGGGTCCAGGACTTGAACCGCGGCTGACTACATGGGAGTCCAGTGATGTAGCCATTATGCCATCTGTTGGTCCCTAAACAATGATTTATTGTGCAAATGAGCAGAATGTGGGGGCATCCCAAACTCTTCATTTGGGAGGAGATGGAAGATGTGTAAGTATAGTCCGCTAAACAGGTCGGGGTTACCTGTTGACAAGCACGAAGTTGAAGGTCTGTCCAGTCACCCGAGAGACTCGATCCCGGACACGCTCTAGAACTGGGATCCAGGGCTTCGGGGACAGCGTAAGGCCCGAAAACGTGTAGGTCAGCCCAGCATCGCCATAGGTCGCCTGCTTCCTTGGCACACTGTGCCACTTCCCGAACACCTGAACCCTGGCCAGCGCACCTGTGCAGATAAACAGCCTTTCTGTTCCTTTGGGTCCCCAGAAATCCAGTCAGGTATGCCCAACTCATGCACTCACAGGGTATTCAGGGTGGAAAGGAAAGGAAAATGGGAATGACATTTCCCTCCGTCTCTCAATGTAATTTGATGCCATGCTGAGAATCCCTCCTATTCAAAGATCATTGTGGTCGCCCAAAATTGGTGTAAAAACAATGACTTGTCATTGAAACATGGTCCTCAGCCGATTTTGCTTTTTATTTTAAAAATTGCCTGAGGCGGGATCAGCAGTTGGCATAATAGCTGTCACTGGACTCCCATGTAGTCGACCACAGTTCGAGTCCTGGACCTGGTGGCTTAAACTCACGCCGGGCACGTGTGCCTAAGATCCCAGAGAAGCATGGAGGAGAAGAGAATGCGGCGTGGCCATCCCCCCTGGGGGGGGTGATTTCTTGCTTTCTGTCTCTCTCTTTCTGGCGAGTGCATGCACCCTATAGCAAAAACCTCTAAGAAAAAAAAAAATGCCTGAGGCAGGGCCAGTAGGTGGCATGGTGGTTAAGGTGCTGGACTTCCACATGGCGGACCATGGTTTGAGTCTCGGACTTTGCAGCTTACTTTCTCATTTTCCCTCTCTCTCTGGTGAGTACACATGCCATATAGCAAATTTTAAAATAAGATGAAAGAATTCTTAAAAACATAAAAGCCTAAAGGCATGTGCATTCCCAAAGAGACAGAGATAGGAAGAAAGCACACCCCCAATGGGATGTGGTCACACCACAATTCCTAATATTTTTCTCTTCTTTTAGGAGTTTGGGCACACACACTCATACACCTGGGATATTTCTGAGACTACTGGGGCTGGGATTTGAACCATGGTTGGCCTTAAAGAGGCTGAAATGTTAGCATGATAAAGTTAAGCTTACATGCTAGGATGCTTTGGTTTTTATTTAAATAATTATTTTTATTTATGATCATTATTTTAATTTGCTATGGGGTACATGAGCTCAGCAGAGAACGAGATAAGAGGAAGTGAGAAAGCAAGCCATCAGGTCCAGGACTTGAACTGTGGTCAGCCATGTGCAAGTCCAGCACCTCAACCACCACACCACCTGCTGGCCCCATCTAGGATGGTTTTTGTCCACTGGCCTGTGGCTCCATGAAAGATGGGACTCTTACAGCTCCAGCTGGAGGAGAGGGGATGTGGAGTCTCCTGTGGGTTTGGGTTTCCTGCATCTGCCTCCAAATGCTCTGCCAGGGTAGAGCAGCAGTTCTCAGTGTGGTCCCCAGGCAAGGAAGCTCCTCAGAAATTAAACTTCCTACAAGCAGCAAGTCCTGCCACCGGTATAGAAGTACCTGGGTCTCTGCCATCTGGCCTCCTCGACCAGTGATTCTCAGCCCTGGCTGCACGGTAGAATCACCTGGAAGCTCATTAAATATACGGAGGCCCAGGCTCCTCTCCTGGCTACTCTGATTTTTTTTTTTGGGGGGGGTAGGTTTTTGCTATAGGGTGCGTGCACTCGCCAGACAGAGAGAGAGAGACAGAAAGCAGGAAATCACCCCCCAGAGGGGATGGCCACGCCGCAATCCCTTCTCCTCCATTCTCCTCTCGGGATCTTGGGCACGCACGCACACGCGCCCGGCGTGAGTTTAAGCCACCGGGTCCGGGACTGGAACCGCGGTCGACTACGTGGGAGTCCAGCGACATAGCCATTACACTAACTGCTGGTCCCATCTGGCTACTCGGATTTGACTGGTCTGAGTAGAACCTAATCTTTTGGTTGGCTGTCTAACTTTCCAGGTGATTCTAATCAGTAGCCAGCGGTAGAGCTATCTAGTCATCTGTCAGCTCCCAGTGGACAGGCAGTCTTGTTTGTGTCTGTATCCTAGGAACAGAACAAGACTCTTGGCCCAGAGGTGCCCAGGGAATACTTGTTGAGTCTGTAAACCCATTTGTAATTAAAGGCTCCTGAGTTTAGATTTCCCCAAACTTCCCATCACTAGTTTCATCAAACAAGCCTCAACACACACACGCACGCACACACACACAGCCCTAGGCTTACCTGTAAAATATTCCACTTCTTTCTCCAACTCTTGGAAAATCTCATCTGCTTCCGCTTTGCCAAAAAGTACTGTGTAATCGCAGTTCAGGCCGTCGGCCTGAATGTGCCTCCAGCTGGGGCCAGCCAGGTGGTCTCCATCCCCCGATCCCTCTTTCCTGGGCCTCTTCCTTGCCATCCTGTCCTCTCCTCCCAAAGGAGCCAGCTCTTCTCCCTTCTGTTCTGGCTCCTCCCCTTTTCGCAAGTGACCCCCTGGAGCCCGCTTAACCACGAATCTGTCCATCCTATCTTCCCACAGGATAAATGTGGATGTCGATGGCAAGGCAAATAGAAAGGGAGAGACTGTCCAGGCGCTGTTCCTGACGCAAAATCCTGTTCCTCTGAGGAGTCCCACAGCAACATCCCTAAAGTTTCTATTTTCAAGTTAAAAAAACCATGTCCTAGAAAGGAAGTAGAGGACGTGAAGGCTGGAAGAGCCCTTACGGGCGATCTGGTCCAGGGTCTCCCGTATCTGGCTTTGCATCAGAATCTGCAGTTAGCCTGCAAAAATCCAGATTCTTGACCTGCTCGCCCAAGCACCTGAATTTCTAAGAGAAATCTCTGAGAATTCGTATGCCACAGCCAAATCTGGAAACTTCATTTCAAACCCTCATTTTATAGATGGGGAAACTGACGCCCAGAGAGGGGGGAGGCTGGCCCAAAGTCGCCCGGAAGAGCAGGCTCCGTAGCTCCTCCCACCAGCGTCAATGGCAATTCTTCCCCCTCCCCCGCCAGTATCAAAATAGGTAAATGGATGACTTAGCACGTGACTAAAATGGATGATTCAGCATATAAATAAGTACCAGTTAAACATGGTCAAATACACACACACGCCGAATTCTGATAGAAAATGAGAATTGTGACAGGTGCTTTGGGTGGGCGGGGGGGG